TACTAGCTGTCCCCTGCCATGCATTGCTGTGGTCCAGTCTGGTGATCTGGAAAATATACTAATGAGAAAGTGTTGGTTTCTAATATATGTAATTTCTTTATGCTTGTGGGTAAACAGTATTTCTTGCAGTTTCTTTGTCAGTGTTGATGTGGAGAGTTTCTGGTTTGCCCACCCTGGAACATGCAACATATCATTGTCCTTCTTTGGGGGTTCCCTTTCAAATCTATGACACTATATCTCTCTGTGTGTGAATCATATATATCTATATCTATGGCTGGATGGCTCTTTGTCAGGAGGGCTTTGATTATGTTTTCTTGCCCCGGTGAAGGGAGTTGGACTGGATGGCCTTGAGTATTTTCTGTTGGTCATGGGGGATCTGTGTGGGAAGTTTGGCCCAATTCTGTCATTGGTGGGGTTCAGAACACTCTGATTGTAGGTGAACTATAAATCCCAGTAACTACAACTCCCAAATGTCAAGGTCTATTTCCCCAAAACTCCATCTGTGTTCATATTTGGGCATATGGAATATTCGTGCCAAGTTTGGTCCAGATCCATCATTGTTTGAGTCCATGGTAGTCTCTGGATGTAGGTGAACTACAACTCCCTAACTCAAGGTCAATGCTCACCAAATACTTCTAGTGTTTTCTGTTGATCATGGGAGACCTGTATGCCCCAGTTGGTTCAATTCTATCATGCTATTCGATTGTAGGTGAACTACAAATCCTAACAACTACAACTCCCTATCTATCTATCTATCTATCTATCTATCTATCTATCTATTAGGCCTGGGTAACAACGGAAAAAATTGTTTCTAAAATCGATTCTTTTTTGGGGGTTTTTGCGTTTCGTTATTTAAAATAATTACAAAATTTTCCTTTTAAAAAGTTCGATATTTACGAAATTTCGTAAATGTGAAAAAAAATACAAAACATTAACGAATCGATTTCCGAAACAATAACGAATCGATTCGTTAATGGCGGACGCGACCGCAAAATACGCTAAAAAACCTCCAAAAACTTCTGAAGCTTCCCTCTCCCTCTGTTGTTGACTGTTGGTGTGATATTATAATTTTTTTTCACTAATTAAACAAAAAAAACCCATAAAACTTGCCCCAGACATGCGGAAATAATAACGAAACGACCTCAAAACAATAACGAAACGAATACAATAACGAAATACGAAGCATTTGCAAAACTATTTAAAAATTCGTTTTTTTAAAAAATTGCTCCAGAATGGTTCATTATCGTTTTGTAATTAAAAAAATTAACGAATTATTAACGAATTACGAATTAACGAAATGAAACCGCCCAGCCCTACTATCTATCTATCTATCTATCTATCTATCTATCTATATGGCTGGATGACTCTTTGTCAGGAGGACTTTGATTACGTTTTCTTGCCCTGATGAAGGGAGTTGGATTGGATGGCCTTAAGTCAGTGGTTCTCAACCTCTAATGCCGAGTCCCCTTAATACAGTTCCTCATGATGTGGTGACCCCCAACCATAACTTCATTTATGTTGCTACTTCACAACTGTAATTTTGCTACTGTTGTGAATCGTAATGTAAATGTCTGATATTTTTAAAAAGGAAGTTATGCTGCCTCACCCTGTATAACCCAGGAATGGAACGTATACCATCATTCGCATGTTTGCATGTTCGCATCTTAAGTTTTGTTTGTTTTTTTTAAAAAAGCTGAAATTTCTGGCAGAAGTCCCACAGCGGCCATTTTGGGAGCCTCTAAATCCCACAACAAAGCAGCAAGTCTGGACAATGAAGGCAAAAATCCCGGGACCAATAGGTCTGCACGTGGACCTCCTTTGAAGACCCAGGATTTTTTCCCCTGTTCAAAACCTGTGATTTAGTGCTGCCCGGAAGCACCCAGAGTGGTACGTCTGAGAGAAAAACACATCAACAAGAAATTGGGTACAAGCAGGGGAAGGTTTGAGCTCCCAAAGCCTAGCCACAACATTTTCACACACAAAACCCAACAAAATATCAATAACGTGGAATACAAACTGAAGAGGCTCAGAGAAAACATATATACAGAGAAAACAGCGATCCACTCTTCATCCATTTTTTAAAGGCATCATACGCAGCTGAAATAGCCCATGCTGCACCCAAACACACACATATGCTGCACCAAAAGAAAAAGGTGGGGAGAAAACAGCTAGAAAAATTTAATATCACTTCAGTCGCAGCTGGCAAACTTATACATGGCACAGGATCCTCCCACCAAAAATCCCTGATGTGGCCCCTCTCTAGCCTCCCAGGTCATTCCCTAATACCCTCCCGCCACTAAGAATGATTCTAGACTGCATCTGGGGTTCATAGGCAAACTCGGAAAGAGAGAGAGATAGCAAAAACTAGAGATCACTTCTTTACTTTGTGATAATCCTGCTTCCCAATTAATTTTTATATTTTAAAACACTTTAAATCAAAAATGATCAGGTGGACCAGAGGTTCTGCTGGGCAACCTTCAGTGATACTCACAATCCTACCCCTCATCTACCTATACAGTCCACCAGACTAAGGCAAAACAGCAAATAGGCATCAGTGCTATTTATATCATAATGCATAGGCTATGTTCATAAAAGTGAAGTATATTTCACACCTGATGGTGTACTTCTAAGCTGCTATATAATCAAGTTCAAAGCAGATAATCTGGATTTTATAGGGCAGTGTAGAAGGGGTCTCTGATTCTGCTCCCAGGTCCACTATGTTATGTCAGGTCTGCTTTTTTTTTTTTGTCGTGTCAGGAGCGACTTGAGAAACTGCAAGTTGCTTCTGGTGTGAGAGAATTGGCCGTCTGCAAGGACATTGCCCAGGGGATGCCCGGATGTTTTGATGTTTTATCATCCTTTTGGGAGGCTTCTCTCATGTCCCCGCATGAGGAGCTGGAGCTGATAGAGGGAGCTCATCCACGCTCTCCCCGGATTCGAACCTTCAGTCCTGCCGGCACAAGGGTTTAACCCACTGCGCCACCGGGGGCTCCGGTGGGAAATAGGTACACATTAGGGTTGGGCGGTTTCATTCGTTAATTTCGTAATTCGTTAATAATTCGTATTTAAAGTGGCTTACGATCCGATATTGAACCATTCAGGAGCAACTAAAAATCGAAATGAATTTTTAAAATTTATTTCGTAATTGTTTCGAAATTGTTTCATTATTATTTCGTTATTATTTCCATATGTCTTGTGCAAGTTTTATAGTTGTTGTTTGTTTTATCAGTGATAAAATAAATAAATTATCACAACAACAGTCAACAACAGAGGGAGAGGGAAGCTTCAGAAGTTCCCCCTGTCCCATTTGGAGGGTTTTTTAGCGTATTGCGCAATCGCGTCCGCCATTAACGAATCGATTCGTTATTGTTTCGAAATTGTTTCGTAATTTCTGAAATTTCGTAAATATCGAACTTTTTTAAAGAAAAATTTTGGAATTCTTTTAAAAAACGAAACGCAAAACCCCCCTAAAAATGAATCGAGTTTAGAAACAAATTTTTCCATGGTTGCCCAGCCCTAGTACACATATATAATTTATTATTATTATTATTATTATTATTATTATTATTATTATTTTATTTATTTACTTACTTACTTACTTTATTTATATACCACTTTTCTCAGCCCTCAGGCAACTCAACATTATATAACATTAGCATGTCCTTCTTAAGAATGTGTGAAGCACATTTTCCTACTACTACTACCACAACTACTTCTCCATCTTACCATATGGCTTAGAGAAAATAATCGAAATGTTGAATGTGGTCTTCACTAACATCAAAAAAAGATGCTGTCCCACCTACTTCCAGTCCTTTTGTAAAGTGTTCAGTTTCAGTCTGAACTTTATTGCTTGCCAAACTACTATGGAATTAGGGCCATTACCTCCATACTTCACAAAGACAACATAGCATATTTTCAACCTATCGACAAAAAAAATAAATCTCACAGAGCTCATCACCCAACGGCTGAAACAACCCATTGCAAAAATATCCATCTATGAGCACAATGAATCCAGCACAGTGCAGTAAGAAAGATAAAATATTGAGCAGCTTGAGAGGGAGGAGCAAACATTTTACAACAGTGAATTTTTAAAAGGATTTTCATACCAAATACAGAAACAAACGCATAATCTCTTCCTGGTGAAGTACTTATATAAGGCACCTGATTCCTGTTGCACACCTCCTTATCCTTATTGACACACAGAAATATATGTTGGCAATTCGCTATCGATTAGCTACCCATGAGGGGCCTTTTCACAAATATACCTGAACTTTGAGTACCATCTTGTAATTTCAACACCATTCTTGTAATTTTGGTACTACCATTGACCCTTCCAAACACCCTTGGATTATTAACATATTCAAAATCATTTCACTCACTATTTTCATACCTTAGGACTAAAGAGAGAGAGAAAAACAAGCGATCTCTACAAAATTTCAGTGTTCAAGATAGCAGCTCAAAAACATTTGAAGGGTCCAAAATTCCCAAAAATCGGTCTTCCATTGCATTTGCGTTCTCCTATTCCCAGTTCAAATTTTGCCTCCAGTTTTAAAACCACAAATCAATGCACAATGTGTTTTCAAACTGTCCATAACAAGAGCAAATGAGAAAAATAAAGAAAACAGCCCCAAATATTTTCTGATTGTGTTCAAATTGATACTTGCTAACGTGTGTATTTGTTAACAAGGAATTGCTGTTTTGGTTTTTCTTAAAATCAAAATGCCAAAAAGATGTTATAATCTTTCTACCAACATATTAGTGAAGATTTCAGAAATGCTTCCCCCTCTGCACTATTTACCCTGCAAAATCTTTGGAGAGTCTCCCACGTTCCCAAAGCAATCTCAGTCTGCAGGTGGCAGCCATTCATTCAATGGGAGCAAGTATCTGGTCCTTCAAGGAAGCAACGCAGAAGACATAATGCTATATTACAGTCATACATACATTATGTACAGAGTTGAAGGCATCTCTGAGAAGCATCGATGAAACAACAATTCTCTGAATAAAATTGGTCTTGAAGATTTTAATTAGGATTTGCTAAGCCGCTTGGCTACATCTGCATAGGCTATTTCAATTTCTTTGTCAGCAGCACAAGTGTTGATGAATTCATCCCGAGAATAAGCATTTTTCAGGTATCGCCAAAGTCCAATCATCTCTGCTGGGAACTCATAGTTGCGATATTTCTTTGTTACAATCTAGAAAATAGACCAAAATATCCTGATTTTAATACTTTATAAGCACATTCATCATTAACATATTATATTACATACAAGACAGAAAAAATAATTCAAAAACACCAGATTTATAGTGGAGGTGGGGAAACGTAGCTCTTCAGGGGAACCTTTCACGCTAAAGTGCTGTGATTCCACTTTTAACCGTCAGGGCTCAATGTTATGGAATCCAGGGCTTTACAGCAAGAAGTATATAAAACTCTCAGCCAAAGAGCTGTAGTGCTTCACCAGCCTACCACCCATAGGATTCCATGGGATGGAGCTACAGCAGATAATAATAATAATAATAATAATAATAATAATAATAATAATAATAACAACAACAACAACAACAACAGTCCTAGACACCTGGGAAGTGTCTGACATGTGATCCAATACAACAGCCAGCAGAGTGATCTTGTCTGCTATGGACTCATCTTGTTGTGCTAATAATAATAATAATAATAATAATAATAATAATAATAATAATAACTACTTTACTCTCATATCAAACTACCATCTCCCCAAAGGGACTCGGGGCAGCTTACAGACGGCACAAAGTACCTAAAAACAACCATAAAAGTGAACACAATATAAAATATAATAAAATAAAACACATGTGTATATAAAAACATCAATTCAGACTCAATTGAGCTGCAATTCTCTAACTGTGGCGGTAAATAACTGTAAACATGGCCAGGCTGTAGGCCTGTAGCCGGGATTCGGGGGGGGGGGGGGGTGGTGGTGGTGGTGGTGGTGCTGAGTTTGATTCAAAGGGGGGGACGGACACTGAGGATCTACCCTAGGAAACCTTTTGTATCTTTATTCCAATACCCTCATGCATATGGGATATATTGAGCATGGTGATCAGATCATGATATCAATAAACATAACAGTTTAAATAATGTACCAGTAAGGCCTTCTCGTGGACCACCCTGAGAATTGAAGCCCCTCAAGCCCTCCCCCTGGCTACATGCCTGCCAGGCTGTAAACATTAGGAATAAAATAAGTGCCAGCTGCAGTAATGGAGAGACGGTATGGGATAAAGTGCAGGATGTGCAACTACTATGCAGGACAACTAGGGACTAAATATTCTCAAAGGCTTGACTGAAGAGTCCCTATGAAAGGAGGACAGTGGAGCGGGGGGCTATCAAATCTCCCTTGGGAAAGAGTTCCAAAATTGTGGGGCCACCACCAAGAAAGCTCTCTTTTTTGTCCCCACCAACTTTGCTTGAGGAGGGCCTCCTTGGCAGATCTTAGAGCCTGTGCCGGTTCATATGGAGGATGCGGTCACAAAGATAGGTAGGACTCAGGTTGAAACTGATTACTTATCTGCAACCGTGGCTGGATCTACACTGCTCTATATCCCAGGATCCGATCCCATATTATCTGCTTTGAACTGGGATAAACAGATAATCTGGGATCAGATCCTGGGATATAGGACAGTGGAAAGCCAGCCTGTGTTTCTTCAAATGGTCATTGGTGAATTCACACTTATGGGTTTCTGTGCCTGTGCTGACTATAGCAGTGTATACTTATTAATTAAAATATTCTTTTCTTTTTATTTTATTTTTTTCTAAAATAAAGCAATACATTTATAATACAGCAGACACACAATATCCAAGACACTTAATTCCCCCCCCCCCCCCCCCCGGAATAACCTTATTATATCTACTGAATTTATTTTTTTATTTTTTTATTTACGACATTTATATGCCGCCCTTCTCACCCCGAAGGGGACTCAGAGCGGCTTACAAGTCATAAGTACATACAACATACAACATACTACATAATACATAACTAGCATAGCACTATTACATCATTCATAACACTAGTTCTACATAATATTACATTATTGTTAGGGAAGGGGCGCTGATGTCACAGGGGACAAGATGGCAATGTTCTCCCGGCTCCCCTTCTTTATTCTGGCCCCAGAGTGGCCGTTGGTGTTATATTCTAATGCCACTTTCCCATGAAATCTCAGGATAGCACATCCAAAATCAGTTTTAAAATTTAATACACTTTGAAATTTAAATAATAGAGAGTAATATACATAAACTAAAATATAATTTTAATGACTTAAAACAATGTGAACAAAGTGCTTGTATGGCTGGGGAAAAAGCAAAGCTTTTAAGAAAGAGCCATGTTTTAATTTGGTTTGGGAATGACACCAGCATTGGTACCAGTGACATTTCCAAGGAGGCACCACAGCCGTGGGACCCCACAGCAGAACTGGCTGCCTGCTGAGCTCAAAGTAGTGGGACACAGAGGAGAATCCCTTCCACACACTGGCACATTCCCAGGCTTGCCTTCAAAAATGAGGGCATATATCAAAATGTTGCTGAGATACTAGCATTAAAAATAATAAATACCTTGCATAAAGCCACTGTGTAATTCATCAGTGATCTCCAATCCTGTTACTCTTATCCAAAAGGGAACCTAGCTAAACTTTCTTAGGCTGTTCTTTGACTTCTCGGGGCTCAGGTAAATAGGTGGAGCAAATAAAGACTACTTCTCCCTAGAGGAAATGTCTGATAAGTAAGACCAGGTAGACTCTCAGGAATAGGAAGTGTCCTCACCTTGACAACATGGAGTTTAGGCAGGAGGTTGCAGTCAGCAAGGGTCAACTCATCCCCATCCAGGAACTTGCGTTTTGATACTTTGTCTTCCTCCGCACTGCTTGCATTAATTTCTTCAGGCAAAGGATTCTTCAGATACTCATCCAGCTTCTTTAGAGCTTTTGTCAAACCTCTTTCCAAACCTTTATCAAAAAACAAAAGGAGAGAGGTGGCAACCAAAACACTTTCCAAAACAGTAGTAATATTGGTGATACTGTACCAAAAGAACAGCACTGCGGAGAGCTCCTCTAAAGGTGGAACAAAAGCCAGTGGAAAATCACCAGACCACTAACAGGAAAGCCACAGGCTGACTCCAGTTATGGCAATTATTTTGAATATTGCCAACTTTAGGCCAGCACTAGGGCACACTGTTGCAAAATATTTATTTATTTATCCATTTACAGTATTTGTATACCGCCTTTCTCAGCCTGTCAGCAACTCAAGGCGATTTACAACAAATCAGTACACATAATATCATAATACAAATTAAAACATTAAAAACAATATAAAACCACAACAGAAGCAATAAAAACCAACATCATTAGCGTCTCCTTGTTAAAAAAAAACATTGTCCAATTCCATCGTCTAGTCAGTTACTCTGCATTTGTAAACGCTTGCTCAAACAACCATGTTTTAACTTTTCTCCGAAACGCTAAGAGAGAAGGAGCCAATCTGATATCCCTAAGGAGGGTGTTCCATAGCTGAGGGGCCACCACTGAGAAGGCCCTGTCTCTCGTTCCCGCCAGCCGTACTTGTGATGAAGGTAAGATCGAGAGCAGGGCCTCCTCGGATGGTCTTAAGGTCCTAGATGGTTCATAAGGGGAGATGCATTCAGACAGGTAGATTGGGCCATCTTGCTACTGAGCTACTACGGAAGCTATGTTGCTGGCTTCCTTGGGTTAGTAGAAAGGCAAGATATAAATAATGTTACACATTGCACCGCTGATGAGTAACACATTTGGACTTTAGGAACATCCCATCATATGTGTCATAGAACAGCACTACACATTGCTTTGGAAAGGATTAAATAATTGGGCTGCTGATACTCAGTGGCACATTTGTTTTTATTTACTATCAAGCCAGCTCCAATTTATGATGACCTTGTGCCAAACTAATCCTTCATGTAGATAGATAGACAGGCAGGCAGGCAGGCAGGCAGACAGACAGACAGACAGACAGACAGACAGACAGATAGACAGATAGATGGATGCTTAGTAGATCAGGGAAATGGTGGGAAAATATAGTGTATTTTGTATTCAAGAGTTTTAACAATATCTCCCTTGCAGACAACCTGGTACAATAGGAGCTACACAAAGTAATTGTAGGTGGATTTGTAACTAGCTGTCAGACCAGGCCCAAAGAATACTTGCTCCTCTTCATCTTGGAAACAAGTGACTAGTGGAATGGCACATGATTCTATCCTAGTTCCAGTGTTTGTTTAACATCTTTATACACTAATTGCATAGCGGAAAAGGAAAGGCTTTGGAGGTGACACTCCAAAGGATGTATGGTATGATGTCCAAATATCAATTCTAGGCTTTGTCAACACAGGAATAGGTCCAGAGTAAGAGCAGAAACACTATCACTTTATTTAGATTTGGTCAGACTTCATCTGTCTGGGCCCGACAATTCAAGAAAGATATTGATAAGCTGAAAAAGCCAAGAAGAGGGCAACTAAGATGGTAAGAAGTTTGGAGACCAAGCTGTATCAGGAACGTCTCAAAGAAAGGGATAGCTTGGTGAAGAGAAGACTTAGGGGTGATACGATAGCAATCTTTAAATATTTGAATAAACAAAACACAGATTAATACATTAATGAATAAATATGAATTACAAGAAAAGAGATTCCACCAAAATTCCACACATCTCCCTTTACAAACCACCACAAAGACTATGATCTTCTGGGGAGGCCCTGCTCTCGGTCCCACCACCATCACAGGCACGTTTAGCGGGAATGAGAGACAGGGCCTTCTCAGTTATTGCCCCCTGGCTATGGAACTCTCTTCCTGGCAATATTAGATCAGCCCCCTCCCTCTTGTCCTTCAGAAGGATGGTGAAGACCTGGCTGTGGGACCAAGCCTTTGGGGCAATGCAATGAGGCAATAATAAAAAGGTGTCCTGAAATGGTTTTTAAGCAACTGATTTTAAAGTGGATATAAGTGGTTTTAATGTTTGTGTATATTTATGGTTTTATGTCCTGGCACTGAATGTTTACCATATATATGTTGTGCTCCGCCCTGAGTTCTCTGCAGGGTGAGAAGGGCAGAATATAAATGTTTTAAATAAATACATAAATAATATTTTAGGAAAAATGTCTTGACTGTAAGTGCTGTTGAGAATGGAATAGAGTACCTCGGGGAATAATGGACTCTCCCTCTTTGGGGGCTTGAAAAAGGAGGATAGCCATCTTTTTGGAGAGCTCTGATTGTGCTGCATGCAGAGGCTGCTATAGATGCTGCTCAGGCCCATAGCCAGGATTTCGTTTCGGGGGGGGGGGGGGGTGGGGGAATTTTTTTCAGGGGGGGTTCGGGGGGGCTGAGTTTCGGGGGGGGCTGAGTCTGAGTGAAAGAGGGTCTAGCCTAGCAAACCTTTTGTATCATTACCCCAATACCCCCATGCATATGGGATATATTGAGCATGGTGATCAGATCATGATATGAATAAACATAACAGTTTAAATAATGTACCAGTAAGGTCTTTTCACGAACCACCATCAGAATTTCGGGGGGGGGGGGCGGGCTGAAGCCCCTCAACCCCCCCCCCCGGCTACATGCCTGATGCTGCTATAGATGCCCCTTTGTGATCCCTTCCAACCCTAGCCATGTATGGTTCTAGTTTTAGGTCCCTATGGAACTGTCAAGAGCAGCAACATTGGTGAGTGACAATTCTTTGTAAGATAATGCAACATAATGTGAGTGAAGTGTTGCTACTCTGCAAATAAATGTGTTATTACCTCTGTTTTAGCTCCAAATTTTTACACTGATATACCTTTTTTTTAATTCTACTATTAAATTTGATTCTTTATGCAATCCATGCTGAGATCAGGAGCACAAAAATACGATTATTAGAGCCATACTATTTTGGAAAAAAATCCCTTTAGTTATTTTATCTTAAGTTTTTCCTCTTATGTTCAGCAATGAATAATATTATCTGACTGTAATCTCCATTTCAAAATTAAGTAATTTTAACTTCATTTATCTCAATTGAATGTATGAAATCCTGGCTCAATGATCTATTTTTCAGGAGTGTCTGTCTTCTAAAAAGACTTTTGTCTCGATTTAAGCATCTGCTTTATATTTTCAAGTTGAAGTTGTAGAATGGAGAAGGGATATGAGCTGTGCATTTAGAAAGCATGAACGTCTGTAGTCTTACTTTAGTCCAGTCACAAGCACAAGTCATCTAGTTCCACAAGAAAGATGGCCACCATTTCACAATAAAAGCTTTAACAAGGAAGCCAGATGATACTCCTTGCTTATGAAATAGTGCACGTTTTTCCCACCTCAACCTTTATTTTTATTTTTATTTTTGGAATTTAAGACATCACTGTGGACCAAAGAACATTTGCTTTGGAATCTACTAAATTGTACAATACATTCTTACAGATGGAGAGATGTTTTATTGACTTAGGATCTTATCAAGTTGGGATATAATCCATTTATATCAGTATGCATCCTTTATTTTTTGAGAACTGAATGCATATGGTATTGAGACGGGATGCATTCTCTCCTCATCACACCCGATTATTACAATTCTTATGATTTGAAAATACTGTGCTTTGACTCATCACACTACAAAGGCTGGCTCCTCCCAATCCATTCAAAATACTCCCTATATCACTCTATAATAATAATAATAATCATCATCATCATCATCAAATTGAACCAAACCTGGCACACAAAACTCCCATGTTGGCCATGCTTTCCCAGTCCAAGCATGATAACACTTTTTGTTGCAAACACACTGCTGAAACCCAATACCGGAAGTATAGGGTTTTTAGCCCTTTTTCAGCATTCTCCCATGACTTGGTCACATACAATAAATTCAGTGTTTCTACACATTGCAGAAACACCAACCCACTGTGCCCTTCACATAAAGCAAGTTCAACTGTGGCAGTGAACTTGCAGTTTCTAAAGTTTCTAAAGTCTTAGTTCTTGAGTCAATTTGCAAGTGACTTGTTTTTAAATTCCCAGCATAGAGATGGACCAAATCGCCAATTTCCCAGTATGGTGTTAATCACTGTTGCCCACTTTTGTTGCCTGCTTGTAAATAAAATGATGGCACTGTGCCATCATTTAGAAGCCAAAATGCCCATTTCCCCAGATCGTCAATGCAGAGGCTTGGAGAAAGGGTTAATTTAAAACCACTTCCTACGATCACCAATGCAAAATCTCTGGGAAAGATGAGGATTGATTTAAACCCACTTCCTATTATCTGGAGTGATTTTTTTAAAAAGATAAATAACTGAAATCTTGGAGGGACAATGAGAGGAAATCTCAATGTAAATCATCGAACCATAGAATCATAGAGTTGGAAGAGACCTCATGGGCCATCCAGTCCAACCCCCTGCCAAGAAGCAGAATTGACCCCAGGGAAAGTGCTGCCTTAAGAAGGATGCTGCTGTTTCAGTGGAAGAGGCTTGAGTGCAAACAACCCCAAGTGCCACATTTAAAAAGGTGCTTCAGTTTCAGCTGAAAGAATTTGAAGGCAGGGTTGATTTAAAGGATGCCTATTTTTTAAAGTGTGCTGGTATCCTTGAAATTGGATACCAGCTCAATTTCATATGAGCAGTCATTGTCTGCTCATATGATGGAAATTAAATGGATGGTTAAGTTAGAATCTGGAGGAGACAATCTTAGGGTGGTTCCAGACAGTGGAAAAGTCTGTGTCGATCCGGGTTTAAAAAATCCGAGTCGGGGCAGACTGTAGTCTGGACTGTGTCCAGATGCCTTTTGGGTTGAGAGGGAGACACCCAAGCCAATGAAAGTTACCAGACTGGCATTTCCCTGCTGCTGTCCCTCTTCTAATACATAGCAATAATGCACCAGGAGAAATGGAGCCAGAAGCGATTTTTCTCCTTCTCTTCTCCTGTCACGTCATTGCTACATGTCAGGAGAGGGCCATCGGCAGGGAAATGCTGGCCCTG